TTTAATACTCTCAAATAATGTTCATTTTTGGCTTTAATACTAGGCTTGTAGCAATCAGTAATGTAGCCATATTTATATTCATATTAACATATTGTTTTATATACTATGTGGGTTCGAACATGATTTCTCGCATTTTGTCAATATTTACTATAATGTGTTTATTCAAAATTTGAATTGTCGATTTTAACTAATATTTGACGGCATTGAAATGAAATAATTCAATATATAAAACCTCGCACGCGCAAATTCAAATTTTAGCAGCCACGACAGCCACAAGATAAAATGGGTAAATACGGTCGATGTACGTTATAATTATATGATATAAACAGTAACATTTCATACCTGACATCAATAAGCCTTCGGCAGGATTCGGAGGCAGTATCCAATGCAAAATAAGATAAATACCATGGTCTTCTTGACCGAAGTCAGTACTCAAACGAAAAAGTCGAAAATTTGCAAATCACACTTGAAATTTGATATTTTGATACACAATATCCCACAACTCATTGCGCGCTTGACCCTTGTCTTCTAAAATAGATACACCAAAAAGCACTCCCAATCTATCCACTGAATAATGTATGTGCTGTACACCACTGCATGCATACAAGTAATATGTATATAATAATGTCAATACATGGTTGATGCTTTGTCGATGTTGCAATTTTCGTCTGCACCTTCCAACACCATAATATGCGGTTTGGTGGGTTAGTAAAAGACAAAATAGTGAATAATTGTTTCATTCCCTGTAAATTTGTAGTTTAATATAGTAAAAATATAGCAATATAAATATTTATAATATAGCATTTGTAAATTCTGAACGCTGATTGGCTAAGAGCCGTGTTGATATAACTCCATGTCAACACGGGAAATTTTCCGCCGCTTGTAAACACGGAAATTTTTCTTATTCGTCAGGCTTTTGATATTGCTATATTATAAAACAAATATAAAACTTTTTTCCGTATTGATATATCGTTATATCAACACTCGTGGAAGTTGGGAACGAAGCCAGCAGGTCATGCAGTGCATGACTAAAAATTTCCCCCAAAATGTTTAAAAATCAGTTCAGTATAATTGTTTACAGTAGCATTATACTTTATCTTTGCACTTCTACGCCTAAGTATTTTATTTATTATTTTGTTTACCCAAATCAGTGGTCTTTAGGCGATATTTTCGCTAAATATTCTCGTATGTTATTGATTTTGGCTTTGTTACCTTGGCAACTGAGCGGTCCTGCATATTTTCACATGCATGACCGTTGCGTAAGCACGTGGAAAACGATTGCGTGTGATTGCTGCGTGGTTTGCTCGCTGTGTGTTTTGGTCATGCATTTTCAGAATTTAATGACTAGCTATATTATTTTATATTAGGTTTGTTGGTTTCTGATTGGCTTACGATGTTCGCACACGCGCAATGCGGCTGTTTTTGATGCCTTGGTCATGCAATTTTCGATTTGCATGACTCGTAGTTAATATAGAAGGTCTTCTATATTAACTATGCATGACTGAACGGGCAACACAACCTGATCACAGCCTCTTAGCTCGAAGCTTTCAGCCTGAATGAACACGTCTTCAGGTCATTCAAGCATGTCGACTTCTTCTTTACTCGAAGCTAACGATATTGTTTGGGAATTAGTGAAAAATTATTGTTTATCAAGCAGAGACCAACGCCAGATCTTTCGACATGCCCGATTGAGAAAGGTTTTCAAATGTCGTGGTATTCAAAGAAAGAATGTTTAGGCTAAATAAGCTATTAGTATTATTTAGTTTATTGTTATTTTGTCTTGAATATTTAAGCTTTCAACCCGAGCATAGCCGTATAAAGCATCGAGCGCTAGGATATAAATACTGTATGAAATACAATGTCGAGGTCAATCTAGTAAACAATATAGTTCTATAAATAGCGCTGCAAGGCTTATACATTTCAACATGCAACACAAATATTTCAGCGATTGTGATTTAGCAACATATTTGATATATAGGGTGTATAAAAAAAAGGAGACCTTTAGAAATCAAGCATATTGTTAAAATTTGAATGCCTTTTCAATTGCACATATGCTGAACCATAGTGCGTGAAATATTGATGAGGTGCATATATTAGAAAAAGGAGACCTTTAGAAATTGAAATAACGTTTAAACAAAAGATTGTCTGCTCCTGGGAACAATCTGCCATGCATACCGTACGTAGATCGCATGTTACGCACTCGTGGGCTTAGCAAAGTGCTCCAGGATTCAAATTATAACAAAGGTTGATTGCTAAAGAGGTCTCCTTTTTCTAATATATGCACCCCATCAATATTTCACACACTATGGTTCAGCATACTGTATGTGCAATTGAAAAGGCATTCAAATTTTAACAATATGCTTGATTTCTAAAGGTCTCCTTTTTTTTATACACCCTGTATACTTGTTTGTGAAACAAACAAAGAAATTTCAATATATATTGTTAAATTGTATTTACCATTTGGTACATACTCCCCGTAAACTGACAGTAAAATTTCAACTCGAACATCTGATAATGCCTAATTCCTTTCCATATCTAATATTGTAATAAATTGGGCGATTGATTTTAAATTAAGGAAATTGATCAAGGCTCATGCGTTATATTTTCCAAGTGACCAAGTCTGCATATTATACCTATATTCTAGATTATACTGACTGTATTAGCAGCTATTTGTCATTATGTTGTATATGTGGATAAAATTTATCTAGTGCTGGAAATGTAAACAACTTTACAATACCACAAGGGGTGGCATACCAAAGTAATCAATTAAAAATTATGTAGTCTATGATAATACAGAACATGCATGTAATATTTTCTGATCGAAAAGAAATACACAATTGCCGGTATGACTATAATTAGCGGAACTGCAGACCACAGATTTCCTATTTTTGTGTTGATCTTCATCATTGTTGTCTGAAATATCCACATCTTTTCCTTCATTAGGTCAAGCTATTTTCCGAAATTTAATGCTCAGATTGCTGCAGATAGCGTTTCTGGGAGTCTATATTTCAAACATTTTCTGGGGGGCATGGCCCCGGACCCCCCTAGGATGTCTCACGCCTTCGGCGCTCGTTTGCATGACCACTCACATGACCACTCACACTCTCAAAATTGTGTGAAAACACTCCGCCCTTCGGGCGTCGTGTTTCCACACAATTTCTCGTGTTGATATAACTCGTGTTGATATAACTGTATATCAACACGGAAAATGTTTTATATTTGTTAAATAATTGTCGATTTGCAAGTCTTACAAAGTATGCTGCTGGCGTAGAAGAGGGAGGGCTCATAAACAAAAATGCGCGGTCTTCTATGAACGGGCAACTTCCCCTCAAGGAGCCAATGTACTCTTCAGGAAGGGTCGCGCGACTCCCTCGAGGAGTCATTTTTGCCAATCGTGGGGTCAAAACGCCCTCTTATATAAAACAACCCTTCCGAGGAGCCAAAACTACCCTTCAACACAAGGGACCGAAATGACCCCAAGGGGTCAAAACGACTCCTTTGAATTTACAGTGTATAGATATAGATAGATATAGATCTATATAGAGATATAGATATAGATATATAGAGAGAGAGATATATATAGAGAGAGAGAGAGAGAGAGAGAGAGAGAGAGAGAGAGAGAGAGAGAGAGAGAGAGAGAGAGAGAGAGAGATCTGCACTTTTGTAACCTTTTCAGGGCACTTTTGTAACCTCATGGAGCACTTTTGTAACTTCATGGGGCACTTTTGTAACTTAGGGCATTTTTGTAACCCTGGCATTTTTGTAACCCGAGGATGAGGCATTTTGGTAACCTTTGTGAGGCTATTTTGTAACTTGATGTGGAATTTTCGTAACCTTTCCAAGTTTTCATTGATAGCTGAAGAAAATAAACTCTGAAGAAATAAATATTGAGTATTTACTTGATATTCACGGAAGACAAAAAGAAGAGGTAAGGTAATATTTCGAATTTATTACACAATCATTGTCAAACTTTACATATCACCTGAAATGTGAAACCTCACCTGATCTGTTCTTTTTGTCTTGATTTTTACCTTGAATATCAAGTAAATAGTCAACATATATTTCTTCGGAGATTGTTTTTTCTTATACTTTTTGAAATTGTCAACAAGTAAAGGATGGCAAAGCAATACGTCATCTATGATGAACACTTAATGCAGATGTATTAAAATTAAGAAAATAAACACACACACCAAGCTTGTCTGTATATGTGAAATGAATTAAAAATACATTTATTGATTATAATTGAAAGGTACCATAAATAATGTACATTATTAAATCATTTAATCACCCAGTTAATAACAAGAACTATAACCGTGTATAATAAATTGTACTGCAAAACAAAGTGGAATATCATACAATATTTTAAAACAAGACTAGATAACTCTGGATGGAGTTATTAACCATCTGTAAGTTTTAACACCAGATATTGTATTTTTAGAATGTTAAATTTGTTATTTCAGTCGTGTAGCCAGCCTGACAATTTGGTCATGCTATGCATATTTTTCTATATGCTGTAAACACAATGGATTTCTAAAGTAATGAATATATGGTAATGAAGGAAAATTTGCATATCATGACTAAATGGTTGGGCTGGCTACGCCACTGTTATTTAATAATTACAGTTATAATATAGATATCCACTATATATAAGCTTTGCTACAATTTCATTGGTTAAAATACCTACCGTATATCAGCTCATATACACGGTGAGTATGTAGTGAAAAAAGCAGCATGATAAACTATATATTTGCATAAAATGAATTCTGACATATAATAGTGGATAACTATATTATAAAACAATTATACCATTCTCTTTCGTCGTATATTGCTGCTATCAGCTCATCCACTGTATACGACTTGAGTTCATGGTATAATTGGGATATGCTAAGACAAGCAAACCAGCTATGAATATGCAATATAAGTATGTAATACAATAAAATGTTTATGGTAAACTTGGTCCATTGCTACCTTATAAAAATGTTCAGTCAACAACCGTATGTTCACTTTTGTGGATTTTCACGAAACTTTCTTTTGGCATATTTGATGCGGTTTATTATTTGGAAAACGCTCAAATGCTTCAAAAGTTTCTGTCCCTCTTGACTGGAGGAGCAGCGTTTCTTGATTTCAACTTTAGAAACTGGTTTATTTTTCACCATATCATCAAACATTTTATTAATTGTTTGTATGTCCCATTCCGAAAGCACACTGCCAGATTTTTCTGTAGGTGGGACAATCCCAACAGATGATTCATCATTGACACTTGGTTCACTTGAAGTGGTACCCGCCATTCTTGCAAGCTTGTCATCCAGAGATTCACTTTCTTCTGGCAACTCGGCAATGACATTTGGCTCATTTATTTTGGTAATATGTTTTTTGAGTCTGTCATATACACGCCTAGGGGACATGTTTTGAAGCTCATCATTTTCTTCCACTTTTGTACGAACCTGGTCGAGTGTGATGCTTCTCGTGCTAATTTCATTGCCGAAATGTTTTTCTAACATTAGCAGGTCGTCAGCAGTCCAGGCAACTCTTTTTCTGCCACATACATCAGATGGCCCTCCGTCTTCCCCTGTGCTCTCATTGTCAGGCTTGGTGCAGGTAGCCTCACCATCACAATCTGCCAAACTTGATGGCTGATTTCGCATCACTGCGCCAAGCTTTTTGGATGCCTCTACCGAATCCTGTGCCTTTTTAGACAAAAGGTAATGTTTTTTTGCAGTTGATTCGTTGTGAGCCATAAGTTTTGCCAACTTCTCACTGAATTCTGGATTCTTCTGGTGCATGTTTGTAACTGCCGACTTGCGGAATGAAGTGGTTGTTACCTTTCCCTTAACGCCAGCTTTCTTAAACACCGACTGCACAGCCTTGTTTATCTGGCTAGAAGACATCCTCTTCCCATTCCATGACAAGAATAAATAGCCACTGGTGGATGTCGTAACTTGGGGCCTCATTCTCTCCACAAAAATTGACAGCCAAGCCTCTAATTTTTTGCTTAAAACAATGTAAGCTGGACCATGTACATGCCTGGTCTTGTGGTTCTTGACTACAATCACACGATCATCATCTTGGGTTCGCATGTTCTGGTATTCACTAATAGTCATGTAGGTCAACACACCAGGACGGTTTGCATTGTCTATAAAAATTTGCGTGAACAGAAAATCTCTTACAAGTGTGTAAGAGTTTTGAGTCACGAGAACAGCTTCTGTGGTATTCGACTGTTCCCCAAGGATCTTGATGGCCAAGCGTGCAGCTTCACTCTTCTCGAACAAGCAGATATTCTCAGGAGTGAGAATGTGACTGAGATCTTCTTCCTGCTTCTCCAATCGACGTGTGCACGCTTCTTTCTTGTAAGATTTTGACCACATTTGGATCTTTTCCCTTGCTGATCTCACGTCTTCGGCATGGAATTCCACCCCATCTGGCCTGTGCGACAGGAGGAAGGTGTAGTAATGACGTAGGCTCATTAAATAGGACTTAATGGTCCCTGGTTGGAATTCTTTGTCCTTCACATACCCATTAAGAAACACAGACTGGATGAGTTTCACATCCAGTAGGGAAGCCACATCATCTGGTTGACCAAGGACTGTTAACAGCTTCAAAAGCTGGGCGGCATGTTGCTTTACAGTCTTGTCATCCCTTTTACCTCCATCTGGAGAACTCATCCACTCTTCAAATTCTGCAACAAGAGGATGACTATTGGACGTGTGTAACACTTCATGTATTTGCTCTTCATCGTTTCTCTCTTCATCATCCTCAGACCTAGCAGAACATGAAGTAAGACTGGCTTCATCAAATGATTCCCCCATCTGCGAATGTTGATAATGCAATTCCTTGTATCGTATTTTGGGGTGCTTGATGTCTGGTACCACTGTAGCACTAGCCAAAGCATCACAATACTCTTTTGACGACCTGTCCAGTTTATGGACTTTTTGCAGGTGTGCTGAAAGCCGAAACACAATTGTGTGGCAATCATTTATTGGGCACCGGCGCCGGCGGTGGTAGTCCTTATGCTTAGCCTTTTTCGAAGATTTTTCATCATCGTCACCCTTTTCCTTCTTTCTTTTATTTTTCTTTTTTCTAATGTTAAATTTAAGGAGCACTTTTGATGCCGCTTCACTAGTCCACTTGTGGACGTTTCGCATATGACGAGGTAAATGGACCACTTTCGCTTTGCATGCTAGTAAAGGGCAAGATACCTTACGCCTAGAGCTATCAGTTGATTTCTTTTCGACACATTTTTCTTTCTTCTTTTTTTTACTTTTTTCACATTTTTCTCTTTTTGAGTTTTCTCCTTTGATAATTTTCTTTATCACATCAATGTCGGCCAATTGGTTTGCTTCTGACTGGATAGCTGGTTGTTTGTCATCGTGTTCTGATGCGGAGTTGGATTTAGAAGGAGTCCAGATCTCATCACTTGAGTCACTATCGCTGCTGCTAGACTGGTTGCCATCCAATGCTTCCATTTTAACGGACTTGACTTTGCTCCTAAAAAATTACAATTTTATAATTATATTTATTAAGCTATATACTTCCATTTCATATAGTGATAATATGACATATTCTAGTACTGGTACATGATGTTCCTTTAAATACTCATTAATAATTCCTATATAAAGAATACTAATGAACATAAAAAATTATATAACTTGTCATCATGATATTTAGCATTTTATGTATCAACCGGTCTGCAGCAAATGTTTAGAATTTTTCTGCTTTGCAGTGATTAGTCAATTTTACGAAATCGTCGAATCGAAAATGCACTTTCAAACATGAACGACAAAGTGATTGTTTATATTCAGTGTGGTTGTAAATAATTATGATTATTCAAATATAGCAGGGTTAAAACATAGTTTAACAAGCTGCTCGGAAAGAACGGTCTTCGAAGGTATGTTCGTATGTCGTTGTGGAATCAACGGCTTGTTCCTCGAGGCGTGACTGGCATCGTTTGACGACGGGATGTTGTGTATTGCAAAGCATTATGATCACCTCAAACATCGTTTTCATGTCTAAATTCCTATCTTATTCAGTGATCAACCTTTTGAAGGTTATTGAGCGTAAACTATATAGACTACAATGGCTCGGGCGGAACAAAATAGGTACAAAACAGGTATGCAAAGAAGTAAACATTTGCCGCAGACCGGATCAAGTACAAATGCCCACACGGCAGTGACTCCCTTTGCACTTGATAAAATGCTAAATATCATGATGACAAGTTATATAACTTTTTATGTTCATTAGTATTCTTTATATAGGAAATGTTTAATCCTAATTAGCATTCTGACATGTTTGCTCACGTTAACAATGCACCATATGTATTTAAAGTCATGCTTGCGTGGTGTGCTTGCATTTTCTTACAACATGAGCGGCCGTGCTGTATGGATATACTGTACAAACACGAGGCAAAAGCGAGTGATTGTATACCCCGACAGAGCACAGACACAAATGCTGTAAATGGCTTGTGAAATTCACGAGAAAATCCTTTGTTTTGGTCACATGATGGGTCTGTACCACTGATACAGAATACTAATTAACAATTGAAGCCGAGTTGTCTATGAGCGAATAGTCAACGAGGCGAAGCCGAGTTGACTATTCGCTCAGAGACAACGAGGCTGAGTTGTCTAATTGTTTTAGTATAAACCACATAAAGAAAAATAAATTTTAAACTTGACTTTTATGTAAGATAATAACGTTTTAACGAAATGAGCGTTTAAATGGCTTCCTTTGGCTTTGGCGACATTTCGTCTCAGCCTTGTTGACAACTAATTAGTGTTGCGAACTCGCAAGAATGACTTGAAAAATATAACTTTTGTGAGTTTTAGAAAGTTAAAAAACATGTCGAATAACAGTATAATATTAAGAGCTCGTTGTAGCAGCAAAGTTTGGCCAATTAACTGAAGAAGAAAACAAGTAAAGGCTTAAAAATTCCAAAATTTCAAACACAAATGGCTTCGAGAATTGTTACTAAATAATGTTTACGTTAAAAAGCCGAATAAAAATACACGCAAGGAATCCGAATGTCGTTAATTTAAAATCTTTAAAATGTTTCGAAAATAAAGAGGAAAACTATTTCCATCATCTATAATATACATAGACAAAAATTTAGATTAAAATTAAATCGAAAAACTTTATGTACAAACATTGTACATATATTTTAAAAATCGCCTGTCGCTTTCATGTTCAAAACTACGAACAAAATTGTGAAAAATTAAACATTTTACCATATGTGTCAGCAGTTTCCAAGAGTCTTTGTTTGTGTGTAATCCAGAACCGAAATTAGGCCATTTTTATCAGCTGTATTCCTTTAAATGCAGCTTTTAATACTTAAAAACTGGCCATTGACTCTCGCGCCTTTCGCTGCTTGTTGCTACTAGTAGGCTATCACTAATAGCCCACTAGTAGCGTAGCCAATCAGAACGCAGGATACGTGATGGCCTACTAGTAGGTTTATACTAATAGCGGATAGTTAGCATTCTGTATCAGTGATACAGATTGCAGCTGACTTCTGTCTTGCGTATACAAAGTTTATCATGTGATCGAAATACAGCGATAGTTAAATATATTGCGTCCATTAAAATTATCACATGATTTACATAGCTACAAACCCAATTCTGTGAAAGCATAATAATACTATGCAGATCCTCTTACAGTAAGCATTATCAAATAAGTATTTGCATATTTCATTTACTGTATGTAAACCTGAATGGATATTGCTACCCTAAGGATATATACAGTATGGTAAAGGCCCGATCAAATGAGGATGAGAGCCGATGAGAGTGAATGAGAGTTTTCACCTTGGTTTCGTTTTACTGCTACTGTCATGGACTTTGAATCACTCTCACCAACTTTGAACTGATTCAAATGTTAGTAAGAGTTGGTTAGAGTGAATGAAAGTCCATGACACGAGTAGTAGAACGAAAGTGAGTTGGCAATTCCCGTCAACTCTCATCGACTCTCATCCTCGTTTGATCAGGCCTTAATTCATGTAGCCAGCATGTATTATTATGATGCCCCATGACAACAATATTTCCAATTAAGTACTTTACAGTACTACAGTTTGAAAGCAAGAAAACAACTTACTGTAACACAGTATGTTGTGCTGTTGTCCCTAATATCTATTATCCAGTATTACATAATAGTAATGAACTACCCATACTGTATGAAATAAATTTTCACCTCAGGTTTCTCTTTATGGTCTTCCTCTGAAATCATATTTGATGAACACCCAGGTTGATTGGCAAAATCATCATCTGATGGAGTCAGTGAATGCTCTTGTTCATAGCGAGCTCTGTCTTCTCTCAACAGGTGTTGCAGATCTTCAACGTATCTCTCAACGTCTTCATCATATTTCTACATAACATATGATTACTAAATTTAAATAAAGTTGTTAAATAAGACTGTGTATGAGTGCACAAAAGCAGTTTGATGTGTTTATCCTAACTATAATTAGTCAGCCTGCAAGCATGTGGGGATGCTTGCAGTTGCAGCCACAAAGCTACTGTACGTCAAATGAATTGATCATTGAATGAATGACAAAAAATTGAGATTATTTCTAGTGCTCACCAGCAACCAAAATTAAAAAAGCATTACAGCTAATGCAGGTCAAGCGTTCCTCTTTTCAATTCCTAATTCATTTGCAATTTTCCTAATTACATTTGCAGTTTTGAAAAACTCATTTGCAGGTTTTTCAAAACTCCTCACTTCCTGTTCAAAACTCCTCACTTCCTGTTAAACAATTCGAGCCCAAAACTTGCTTGTTTCGGCGAATTTCAAAGTTGAGAGACCTTGTGTGATTATATTTATTTCCTTTCAAACAATATATGCCCTCGTATATTTATATAAAGAGCTAAAAGTCATAAAAATATAGACTTTCGATTTTGCAATATTTAATTGCTTAATTGGTTCAACGGTCAAATGAAGGTCACTGAAGGTTCCTTGTGAGAAAGTGAGAAAAATTCAACAGGAACTGAGAAAAATTCAACAGGAAGTGAGAAAAATAAAACAGGAACTGAAAATGTTTTCCAAGGAACCTTCAGTGACCTTCATTTGACCGTTGAACCAATTAAGCAATTAAATATTGCAAAATCGAAAGTCTATATTTTTATGACTTCTAGCTCTTTATATAAATATACGAGGGCATATATTGTTTGAAAGGAAATAAATATAATCACACAAGGTCTCTCAACTTCGAAATTCGCCGAAACAAACAAGTTTTGGGCTCGAATTGTTTAACAGGAAGTGAGGAGTTTTGAACAGGAAGTGAGGAGTTTTGAATTGGTTTTTCAAAACTGCAATTTTGTTTTTTGAAACTGCAAAATTGCAAAGTTCCAAAAAGGAATTTGCAAATGAGTTTTTCAAAACTGCAAATGTAATTAGGAAAATTGCAAATGAATTAGTGACGCGTGTTTAGCTGTTATTTCAAGCGTTATCACGTGATCAAGTTATTTTTGGTGCGTGAAATTGTGAATTTAAATGTTGGCGAGAGTCGGGAAAAGGCCAATTGAAACGGCGGATTTCGTGATTACTTTACCAAGTAACGTGATTACGTGCACCAGAATTGAAGCTAACTTTAAAAAATCGCCCCCAAAAGGCAGCAAAACAGAACAAGAGAACAACTTATTTGGCCTTAATAGCCCTTAATAATGATTTCAGGCTATTTCGACGACTCGGCACATTCCCACTTCCGGACTGCTACTTTCAAACTTTCGGAGGACTTTAAACTGCCGAAGTCGGAAGGGAGACATCATTTCTTCTTGGTGGACGTTCGAGATATGGAAGACATACCTAATTTTAGTGTGCAGTGATAACCAATTTGTGCAGTGATAAAAATGATTGTGCAGTGATTAAATGTAAAATGTGCAGCAATAAAATTTGCTGTGATAAATTGTTAATTTTATGAAGAAAATGAGGCAATGAGCAGAAAAAACTGAACTAAAAACTCGTCTCGTCACTAGAAAGTATTAATAATCAAAACATTTTAAATGAGAATAACTTGAATGAAATTGAAATAATAACTGCCAATTTATCGAACGTCAGCATTAATATTATACTTAAGTTTCATCAAATGAACAAAGTCTCCCATCAAAGATCTCTTTATGAGCTTGGATGTTGGTGTGAATGATACTTAACTTTTTGTAATTATATTAGTGTATAATCTTCAGGATTCTATAGAATGCCCCCGCACATTGAAAAAAGACCCTTTGAGAGAGGCTAGATTACAAAATTTTCTGTGGGTACATGCCCCTGGAACTCTTTTACAGTTTATCACATCTAAGCCGCCTCTTATTTGCCAAGAAAAAAATATTTCGTTCCTGCAAGCATATGATTATCAAACTACGCTGTCATAGAAAGTCGTAACAGCAAGTGCTGTCAAGGCCGCCCAGAGGAAGGACAGGGAGGGGGCAATTTGAGCTGGACCCCAGTTAAAGGTAGCCCAAAAAAGAATTACATTGAAATATTCATATAGGTATAAGTGCCAACAAACTTCCAGAATGCAGGATTTGGCCATTTCTGGCACCTGAGATTTCAAAATTTCCCTGGGGAGAATGCCCCCGGATCCCCTTAATCATACTGTTAGAAGATGGAATCACGAGGGGTCACAACTCAATTTTTGCCCTGGCCCCCCAAATTTCCCTGGGGGGCGCCGTGCAGTGCATGTTGATTGGTTACATGTTACTAAAAATGGTGCGTTCAGTAATTTTGAGGGCGTGGCTTCTGCTCGGCTAAACTTTGCACAAAAATGTGCAGTGATAAAAAATTCTTAAAATTAGGCATGATGGAAGAACAGTTCGTTTCAATAGTAGATTTGCTTGAGGTGAGCCGCTAATTTCTTAAGATTGTTCATTAACGACGTAGTTTCATGTTTCTCGATTTGCCAGTTTTAGATGCTCAATGAATTAAACAGTATGTTTAAATGCGTTTCAAAATACCTGTTGACCATGTTGTCTTTACCAATGGTAGTCTTGTTGGAGATAAGATTAAAATATTTGATCAGAAAATTCGGTAAATTAAGTGTCAAACAGAAAAATGCGCACCATCAGTACCATTTTCTGCACATGTTCGACGCCCTAATACATTCTATCAAATTCAGTAAGTATGCTATAGTTTTTGCCCCCGCGTGAACGTGAAATTAGCTATTTCTTTTTCGTGACGTGTTATTTGGAATTTTTTTTGGCGTGAATGCGTGAATTCAAGGGGCTCATGGGGGGCCCCGAGGAACGCTTGACCTGCATTAGCTGTAATACCACATTTTAACAACTTACCTCATCCGGCATGGTCACACGAACAGAGGCTGCCCTTGTTACCAGCGACTTTCCCTTTTTCGTCTCAGTCCAATTTGCCTGATATGATCCATGAGCCTCCTATAGTGTACATTAAAAAAACAGCAATTGTTTAGGACTCAAAGTTTGTTTTACAACTTACTGTAAGTACAGTCATCTAGAAACAGTATATGTAGTTCATAAAACATAGTGTCAAGATGCATCATCTGTAAATGGCTATATGCTACTATAAATAAAACAAACTATAATATATGCTACTGTAAATAAAACAAACAAGAACATACCTTCTCAACAAATTCCTGTAGGTTCATTAATGTTGCTATAATATGTGGTTCATTCTTGATATTCTTTGGAAATTTAAATTCAAACGTAATCTCGTTTTCCATTTTAAGGGAGTTGGGCTACCCTGATACTAAAGAAAAGATAAACAAATACAATGTTGCACTACTTACATGATTCTATTTCTTATTGACTGTTTACCTGTACATACATGTACATTTTTCTATAATGTGGGCTGTTTACTTATACTACATAGAATCATGTATTGTAAGTAAACAGTCCATAACTGATTATCATGTACTGTAAGTAAACTGTCAAGTCATGCAAGTGAACAGTCAATAACACAATCGTGCAAGTAAGCAGACAATAATATAGAATCATGTATGTAAGTATAAAAAGCCAATAATATATATACAACAATCCAAGAGAACAGCCAATAACAGAATCATGCTGTCAAGTAAACAGTCAAAAATATAAAATCATGCAAGTAAACAGTCAATAATATACTAGAATCATAAGAGTAAACAGTCCATATTATATAGCAGAATCATACAAGCAAACAGTCAATAATATAAGATAATCGGGTTGCAGCGTGGCAGATTCTTGATATAATAGCAGGATAGAATGGTTCTTTAACTGCCTAAAATAGACAAAAATAGTTCTCGAAATGTCGAGAACTATTTTTGTCTATTTTAGGCAGTTAAAGTTCTCCTGACGAAGGCCCATAGGTCGAAACGTCGAGAACTATTTTTGTCTATTTTAGGCAGTTAAAGAACCATTCTATCCTGCTATTAAGTCAATAATATACTAGAATCATACAAGTAAAAAGTCAATATTATACGAGAATCATACAAGTAAACAGTCAATATTATATACCAGAATCATACAAGTATAAAGTCAATAATATACTAAAATCATACAAGTAAACAGTCGATATTATATACCAGAATCATACAAGTAAGCAGTCAATAATATACTAGAATCATACAATAAGTAAACAGTCAATATTATATGCTAGAATCATACAAGTAAACAGTCAATAATATACTAGAATCATAGAAGTAAACAGTCAATAATATGCTAGAATCATACAAGTAAAAAGTCAATATTATATACCAGAATCATACAAGTAAACAGTCGATATTATATACCAGAATCATACAAGTAAACAGTCAATAATATACTAGAATCATAGAAGTAAACAGTCGATATTATATACCAGAATCATACAAGTAAACAGTCAATAATATGCTAGAATCATACAAGTAAAAAGTCAATATTATATACCAGAATCATACAAGTAAACAGTCGATATTATATACCAGAATCATACAAGTAAACAGTCAATAATATACTAGAATCATACAAGTAAAACGTCGATATTATATACCAGAATCATACAAGTAAACAGTCGATATTATATACCAGAATCATACAAGTAAACCGTCAATAATATACTAGAATCATAGAAGTAAACAGTTGATATTATATACCGGAATCATACAAGTAAACAGTCAATAATATGCTAGAATCATACAAGTAAAAAGTCAATATTATATACCAGAATCATACAAGTAAAAAGTCAATATTATACGAGAATCATGCAAGTAAACAGTCAATATTATATACCAGAATCATACAAGTATAAAGTCAATAATATACTAAAATCATACAAGTAAACAGTCGATATTATATACCAGAATCATACAAGTAAGCAGTCAATAATATACTAGAATCATACAAGTAAACAGTCAATATTATATACTAGAATCATACAAGTAAACAGTCAATAATATACTAGAATCATAGAAGTAAACAGTCGATATTATATACCAGAATCATACAAGTAAACAGTCAATAATATGCTAGAATCATACAAGTAAAAAGTCAATATTATATACCAGAATCATACAAGTAAACAGTCGATATTATATACCAGAATCATACAAGTAAACAGTCAATAATATACTAGAATCATACAAGTAAAACGTCGATATTATATACCAGAATCATACAAGTAAGCAGTCAATAATATACTAGAATCATACAAGTAAACAGTCAATATTATATACCAGAATCATACAAGTAAACAGTCAATAATATAGAATCGTGTTAATAAACGGACAATATACAGTAAAATCATGTATTAAAGTGATCAGACTGTTCTAGTAATACGGTATGAATATAATGTTACAAGTGGCAATAGATTTACCGGGCGGAAATCTCAGTCATAGCGATAGTTTTCATAAAATTAGGAGATCTTCTATTAATTCTATGCACAAGCATGTAAAGTTATGAAAGCAGACATATATAGAAACATGTGTAAGCCAGCAAGCGAACTATAAAATCGGCTGGGATTAAAGTATTTACATATAACAGTCAGGTTTCCACAAAAAGTCAGAGATTTCATACTCATGAATATTTACAAGAGGGAAAGGTCAACTGGTCAAGGAAAGTTTACTGATAATTCATTCAAAAAACCAACATACCTTGAAGAGAGGAGAATCAGCAAACTGGTAGTAGTTTTATTGCTTCAAACAACTCAAAATAAACTGTAGATGGCTTTGGATTAGACTTCTTCTTCGAATACTGAACCTTGTACAACCTCGAGGCAGGGTTGGTAACTTGGTAGACTCCTGCGCAAGCTTGGAGCCAAATATAGTTTGAAAAGTAGCCAAAATCTACCAAAAAAGGCCAAACTACTATTTTTCAAAAGAAGCCGAAAACAACTCGTTCCTTGAGCCTGCGTTTGAGTAATCAGTACTTGCCACTTGACTTGGGTAGTTCCGAAGAGAGCACTGGTTGACCGAGTGGGGAAAAGATAACGTTACAAACAACTACTTGATGTGAAAATAGTTATTAACAAGCGTTACAAGCCTCGACAAGCACAACGCAAAAGTACAAACTTTAAAATAAAATATTAATATTCTATCAGTTTTTCTGTCCGATCTCAATGTCATAGACATAATTGCCATTGTCACTCTGAAATATATATAGAAAAATCATCTAACCCCCTTATATAATTAGCCATACTGCTTGTTTAATTGTTATTGGTTAGTTTATTGGCATTACAATTGGCTGAATTTTATCAGCTGTGATTGGCTGAAAATACAACTAGATTATCCATATGATTATTTTTGAAATTTACATTACAAATACAAATCAACCTCTCACATAATTTATTATACAACTAAGTGATTTTTAGAACTAAAAATCAATATAATTCTAAAACTTTTTTGAAGTGAAAAGAGGCCAAAAAGTAGCCAAATGGCCAAAAAAATATTTCGAGGCCAAACAAGATATAAAAAGGCCAAAATCGAGTTATTTGGCCTCAAAAAGGCCAATATACCAACCCTGCCTCGAGGTGATCTGAAAACGCGGGAAAGGACTGGAACTAGTTGTCAAATAGAAATCCATTTCTCGATTAAAACAACTTAATATCTCTTGAAATATACTTTATTTCGGTTCCAAATTCATGTCAGAACTACAGTTCTCGTAACTAAACATAATTACAAAATTTCAAGTAGTTTCATAAAGAAGAACGAAAGATATAATCGACTGAATACAGCAAAATGGATTTCTATTCGGACAACCCTTTCAGGGCGCTGATTGGCTAAAATACGAGCGCGAGATCACCTGGCTAGTGGACTCAGAGAAAGAATACATGTACAAAAGAGAGAATTAGTGCTAGTATCCAGGCCCTTGTGAGTGAAGTCAAGTGAATAAAGTACAAATTGATAAAAAATTTAGTATATTTACCTTAATGCAACGTTCGAAAGCCCTTCTGTTTTTGCGGTAAAAAGTAAATTTATGATCGCTAATCAGGGGTCTTGCGGCGTTGTACAAGTTGGTGGACTGGAGCATTGGTAGCATTGCTGTAGATATTTATTGCGAATGTAAGGGGTACCCACTTCAGTTACACATTTAATTTTGTCAATGTTGATCTGCAATTATTACATTTCTTTAAAAACTTTCCGACAAGTTTTCAAATTCTGTTTTACTAAAGTCTTCTGTTTGTTTTAAGATGCACAAAGCAAATACACATTTCTGTTTTCACTTTTGACGTTCCTAGTTCGGACCGGCCACGGACACTGCCCAGGCTGCCCAGTCCAGCTTTGCCAATCTTAAAAATCTATCAGTTCTTCATTACACAACAACTGGAAACTCCATTTCACTGATTTACTTGTTATTTGCAACATAAAGTTATTTGTGACCAATAATATTTTTATTCTGGCAGTAATTCTGTGTGGAATTACTTTTTGGCATAAGGGTGTAATTTCTCGGCTCTTTATTATTGGCAACAGATGCAGAGACGCAGGTTGTTTTTTTGTTGATCGTGAACACTACTTTTGGCTTGACAGTATAGTCTTTGCAACCTCGTAAATATACTGTTTTGAGTAATAAAGGACTTGAAATGTAGAAATGTTATGGACTTTGTAATAGCACTTTAAACACGTTGTATGATTTTAAACACTTTAAAATGGGCCTGACTATTGAGGTACAAGCCCTGTGTAAAGTGAGGCAGGTAAATGTTTTTGTAATTTTTGAAATGGGGCCTGTTGGAAGTAGTCAACTCCCGTGAGGGTGTAGCTGTCATAATGAAAAATCGATTTTTTTACAGAAATATTTTGATTATTGCAGCCAAATTTTTCACAATATGTTGTATATATTAGAGCTTCTTAAAAAGCACAAAACCCTTGTACTATTTTCGAGATAAACAACATTTCTAAAAAATTTTGATTTCCTAGCAAAAGGGCGTTTTTGTAACTTTTGAAATTTTAAGAAAATCTTTAATAAAAAACGAACGGATGAGCCCCAGAAGCTGAAATTTCGATAAGATCTTTCCCATAGCATAACGTTTTGACTACCGAAGTATCATTCAATTCGGTTAATAATTAGAGCGGAAAATCCCTTTTGAAGCTTAAATTTTTTTCAGCCAAAATTCGGCAGCGATCTCAACAACACCTATATTATCTTGACCTCAAAATTTCGCCAGCTCGATTGCAAGAGAATTAAAGGCGGTGGTAAGGAAGGGAATGTGCCAAAGAAGGCTAAACAATCTGTATTAAGCATAGTTTCTTTCACCTAGCGAGTTTTTTTGAGTTTGAAGCTTAGCAACACAGGTAGACTTTTTGTAACCTGACCAGCGCGCTTCTCGCAATTGCCCGCAAAGTATAATCGGTAATCGGCTCGAATTTTGCACAGATCTTAAATGTATTTAGGCAAACATTCATTCAAAAAACGAAGTTTGTGGGAGCATACAGAACGAAAATATTACGAAAGAGAGAAAATGGTACAAAATTGCCCTAAGTTGACTCTAGAGAGTGAGAGAGAGAGATAGACAGACAGAGATATTTATTTGAATTCGGAAATTCTTCAGTGCATAGCACTGCTTTACAAGAAAGCCGAATACATATACAATATTTAGCTAGAAGCTGATGATGTGATTATTGCTCCTTTTTTAAACTGACTCAAACTGTTGCTGCATTTTACATCTTCAGGTAAAGTATTCCACAATTTTACCCCTGAAAATGCAAAGCTCTTCTTTAAATATTCAGTTTGAGGCTTTGGTAGTGCAAGGCATAATTTTCTATTTCTTAATGTATAAAAATTATCTATGGCAGACATTTCAAAATGGTCTCTTAAATACTTTGGTGCCAAATTGTTTAATATATTATACATCATAGTTAATTTGTGTGTGTCTCGCATTTCTGCAAGAGTTTTCCAGTTTAGTGTTTTCCTTATTTCATTGGATCTGACATCATAACCTTGATGAGTAATAACTCTAGCGGCACAATTTTGCAACTTTTGTAGAATGCTGGCACCAGCAGCAGGAAGGCTGTCCCAAACAACATCGCAGTAATCAAATAATGGTTGTATTAATGAGTTATAAATTGTTACCAATGTCGATAATGGGACAAACTCCCTTACCTGCCGTAAACCTGAGATTCCAGCACCTACTTTTTTTGAAATATTTTGAATATGTTCATGCCATGTTAGTCTTTCATCAATATGTACCCCTAATGACTTGGTTGCTTTGACCCTTTTTATCCCTTTGTTTTCAAGAAATAGTAGTGGTACATCTCTTAACTTGTCAAGATTTTGATCTGATCCAATGAACATATACTCAGTTTTAGTCACATTAAGGCTGAGTTTGTTTGCTTTCAGCCAGTCACTTATATTATTTAAGTCATCATTAGCATGTGTTACTATTTCTCGAATAGATGTTCCTGTTGTTGTTATTTTGTATCATCAGCATACATTCGAGCTGTAGAATGTTTTAAACACTGAGGAAGATCATTTATATATATGAGAAACAATAACGGTCCAAGAATTGACCCCTTAACTCCATACCCATGTCATTTTAATCACCTCAAGAAGAGTTAATTTAACCCATTAAATGCTGTTAATATTAACTCCAAAAATGAGTTATAGCAACTCTGTAAGGAGCGATAATATTATATGTCACATTAAGGTGACTCCCTACTGTTTTTTTGGCAAAAGGAATATTGCTGATTAAGGGTAGAATTTTTGAACACTGCTGTTCCTATGGTAACCGTGACGTCTCAATATGGCTGATTTTTTTGCTTTTAATTAAATTTACTAAAAAAAGAACGGTGACCCCACTTTTTTTTTAACAAATGTTTTGTAATGGTGAAGATAATTATTTAGTCAAATGTTTAAAAAATCGCCAATATAGATTTTTGAAATAAAAAAACATGATTTATTGCGATTAAAAATATCTACAATGGCAATTTTTTAAACGTTAGTAACCAAAAATTATTTTTACTAATTGAAAACATTTGACAATATAAAAAGTAGGGGTGACTGTTCTTTTTTCGAGTTAAATTAGTTTAAAGCGATATTGGCCATATTGAGACGTTATGGTTACCATAGTTACCATAGTGACCTTTATTTAAGGATTATGAGTCTAGGTTTGGGTTTTATTAGGAGTCTAGGTTGGGGTTATATTTCTCCCAAAGGTCACGGGTTCAATTCCCACCGTGGCCAAGCTAACTTTTCGGCTTGTCCCATGTGGATGCACACTCAGAGTAACATCACAAACATCATGATTTAAAAAAGTCAAACATCAACATTTATTCATAACTTGGCAAAATGACATTATGGACACAAGTCTACTTCACGTAGCAGATTAATTAATGATATTAGATGCTGTATAGAAAAAAGTTGTCCACATTCTTAGTTGTTTGTTACAATTTCAAACTTAGGAACTATGTAACTGTAATTTGTTCTTACTCCATAAGGTTTAGTTTTATTGAGAGACAAGAAACAGTTCAAATAACATTGATGAAACAAAACCAACTGTCTTCTGAGTGCTGGGCTTACTTCATAACTTTGATAGTGTGCATTAAACTCAACTATATGCAGTTGGGATAGCACAAATATGATGTCACTGATATTTCGATTTACAGTGCATATCTTAACCACTTTTCCAAAAACAGGAACATCATATTCATCAGTTCCAATCTGTAGGATGCAGCCAACCTTGTACTTTGTACCATGAACAGATACCCATCTGTATCTTCATGCATGCAAGGAGAAGGAAGGTATATTTCAAAATTTGCGCGGCAACAAATAATATGTAACATATACAGTATGCAAACAGAAAAAAGAAGATGGCAAAGGCAAGGCGGAGGGAATGAGGCTAAAATGGGCAAAGAATACAATAACTTTACCTATACGAATAAAACCATTGTCATCCATAATAATGACAGACTATGTGTCAGACTGCTGATCTGGACAGACCTAGTCTTGTACCTAGATCCACAGTGCAGGATTAGGTATCCTTAATACTGTAGGTAGGGAGGGTGATCTCCTATCCTCCTGTGACCACAGATGCCACAATGCAGCCGACTGTAATATATTCTTTCTTAGCCCTTATAATCCCCTACATGCCCCCCTTACAGTAAAAATTACATTTTACATTTTACTTGGTCACTTACTCAGAGATTGGTGTTTGATTACAAATTGTAGGGTTGTCCTGAGAAAGGAGGGCATAGCAATCCACATCACCTGCATAATAATTGCACCCTAAAATGCAACATCGCTCTTATTAAAAAATACAGTTTTTAGTTTTGTATAAAATTATCATCAAGAGTATGACAGTGCTGTTAGCCTTGTATTCCGATATAATTTCCCTTGACAAGTTTCATTAACAAGTTTTAGTTGCTCATGTATATGCGTGAAATTGACATTTCTTTCTTGCTAAGGAGACTGGTTCAAAACTTTGCATGTGGGCAACAAGGAATACTTGTCTTTCAGACCGATGAGCTACCAAATTGTTAACAATCTTGTCAAGGAAAATTTCATTACTCACCATGAGGGCCAGTTTCAATTCCTTTTGTTATAAACGATGACAGACTGCCATTGGATGTTTGGAGTCTGTAGCAAATGCCTTCTTGGTGACGTTTAGTAAGGGAGTATGGCAAGTTGATGTAGTTTCCCATGAAGATTGCCAGTCGTTTGAATTCATGGTGCTTTGCCTCAAAACGCATACACCAGCTTCGTATAAGAGGTCCAAATCTTAAGGAAACAAACTCTGTTAATATAACTAGAGTGTAATGTAGACATCTAACATAATATCATTTTATTGCTATGAAAAAATATTATGTACCTCAAAATTGCTCTTGGCATATGTATCATGTAATGCATTTTGGGGATAATTGGACATCCTGGATATAATGCTTTGAACTTCTCATGATCACTCTGAATTAAAACTTGCAGATAGGCAACTAGATTGTGGCTTACTGTTGGTGCAAATATAATGCGAATAATTTCAAGCAAGTCACAGAATAATGCCCAGTTCTCATCGTCGTCTGGAACTAGGCCACCAATCATCAATGGCAGATTTACTGCCAGGCACCACATTTGGTTAGCTAAATTATCAAAAAATGTTAATCAACATGGAGGAGCATTTCGACAAGCAAAATAAATCATGTAGTATTTACTATACCATGTTGTTTGATACTGTGGTCAGTTGAAGTTAAACGACTCCGCTGGAGTGGTGCTGGCTTGTTTAAATTGTTATGATATCCATAATCAAAGGACGAAATGCGCTTGTTAATTTCATCAATAGAAAATAAGCCTTTTTCAAACATCAATGCTTTCAAAGTTTCTTTAACACTGTAGTGAAGAACTCCTTCCAAAACATCATGCATTGCATCAGGAGGCATGCCACCAATAACATGGAAAAACCTGGACTTGTTAAGGACCGAGTTGCTGTTTATTCCATAAGGTTTCGAATAATAAGGATCGTCATTGACACGATTACACTGACTATCATGGCCTGTTGGAGTTCTCAGAACAAAATCTTGCTCGTGGAACTAAAGAGATAAATATATCAGTGTCAGTGGTGAAGCCAACCCGACCATTTGGTCTAGCTATGCAAATATTTCCATGTTCATAGACCGTGAAAACAATCAATTTCTAAAGAAATGAATAATTTGAAATTTGCATAGCATGACCAAATTGTCAGGCTGGCTTCGCCACTGACAAGTGTGTAGGCAGGGGCGGTTCTTTTAAAAAAACCCAGTATTTTCCAGTATACCGAAAAACCACCTCAGCCTACTGTATGTGTATATGTCCAATGCGGTCCATAATAATACAATGCTAGCAACTTTCTCAGGCCTTAAAATATCGGTCGGTCACGGACATTGTCCGACCCATTCGTGAAATTGTCCGACGAAGACAGAAAGCTACCGGACATTCTGTCCGACGTAAGTGAAACTGAGGTTTATTGTTTGTCCGACCCGAGTGTATTGGTGTCCGACCGAACTGTAGCTTTGTCCAACATAAATCAATCAGGAGTAAGGCTCGTATGTTAAATGGAAAATCAGAGGACTATTGAGTATTGTATAAAAATTGAACTGGAAATGTTTTTAACGTAGCTAATCGAGCACGGGGCGGCGACGTGCGAATGAAATGGTGAACTGGAAAACGGGCTTAAGTTGTCTTACTGCTGTTCTTGCAAGCAAGTTAATTTTGGCTTGGAAATAAGTATGAATAAGACAAATTATTTAATATCTTCACAACATTTACCGTTCAGAATTAATACATTGTGCTGGTATTCGTTTGTGTCATTCACACTTATTTCCAAGTCAAAACTGAACTGAAGGTCATCGGACATATGTCCGATCCAAACTCAACGTCATCGGACATTTTGTCAGACGGCCCTGTAAAAGATATTTTAAGGCCTGCTTTCTTTACACTTACACAAATCAAAATCTGAATCTGAGTGCCCATACACTCCCTGCAGACTCTATGTGCTTGTGATCCTTCTTTAAAGCCACCAATGAACTGTGACCCAAGGTTGTCACCACAGAAGAATGCAATTGTGCCTCGGAACATCCTAGGATCTCCTTGTATCAAGAACTGGAAACCTGTATCCTGTCCAATTAAAAGGAAAACATTGTAATGTAAGCATTATATATGGACATCAAAACTTCCTCAACAAACAGACCTGATAAGTCAGCTGAGCCTACTGTATTTCCTTGATCTACTGTATGCTCAGCCAATAATAGACATTAATTTTTAATATCAACTATTATTAAGCAATTATTGGATGAGGCTGGGTATGATATCAAGAATTATTCAGACCGAGGTCAATGTTATCTGCCGAAGCGAAGCTGAGGCGGATAACATAGACCGAGGTCTGAATAATTCTTGATATCATGCGAAAGCCGAATCCAATAATTGTTTTATTATACATTTAAAGACATGAGAAAGGTATAAAACGATTCCTGTTCATGAGGTAGGAAAAGTACAATTTGAGTATCAAACACCTTGCACAAAGTCAAAGGTCAGCTAAATATTCTATTTCTACTTCTATTTACCCCTTTGTGGCTTTTTTCGTGCTTTCACTATCCTTATCTGCCAATAATTTGGAGAGTTCACTTTCATTCAGCAAAGCAAATCTGCTGTAGGCCATTGTTTGTTTGGTTTTTTTTCGCGCGCTTATAGGTTCAAGCTTTTGGCCGCGCAAGGGTTTGGGCACGAGAGAGTCCAATAATTTTTTTTTGTGGATGCAAGTTCGATCCAAAAAAACAATTATTGGACGCTGATGACGTCATCGGCGGAAAATACGTAATAAATGCCAAATACTGAAAATTAGCCGTTGCTTTCTGACCAATTAGAAACGAGAATACATATTAAATGTATAATAATAATTATTAACAACATGCATTTATTCATCGTAAGCTACATAGAAATGTAATTAGGACACCTATACACATTTACACTACATACATATAGTACCAGTACTAAATGTATACAGTTATAATGCCATGATTCTAAATTCAAAGGAAATACCAAAAAATAATATACAGTATGTATAACAGAATAATTGTTTATGTGTGTGTACACTTCGCACACATGTTAGTAATACAGTAATGCAAAAAGCAGTTTTACTCACTTGTTCGAGCTTAGCTAAATCTTCCATGAATAGATCAAGTAAAGCTCCTGCTCCATACTTTTTGAGGTGCTTGCACGAGATCAGACCAAGTAACTGAACAGCATTCTTATGGGATCTATTTTCTGGTCTGATGTTTCCCAAAGTATAATAGAAGGCACCTGTATTAAACATTGTTGATAATGGTAATCAATTGTATTATTGATTAATTTATGCAGTGTTTTCTCTTGCTACTGTATTGCTAACACCTCTCTTTAAGCAGAATTAACCCATTGAGTTGCATTGCAGCCAAATATGGCCTATAGTACCTTGGGTCATTCCAGAAAAGATCCATACTCCCCCCACAGAAGAAATTTCTGCCGTCCGGAGGGGGAGGGGAGAAAAAATTGTTTCTGATAATAGTAAATGTATTAGGACATCCGAAGGGGGTAGGGGGTTAACTTCCTATTTCCTCTGTGGAGGTGGTACAGATGTTTTCTGGAATGACTCCTTGTTCTTTTACTCTGTCTAACTTCATATAGTATTACTTGTCAACGGAAAGTCTTGTAACTAAGTAGGTTAAATTTGGTCCTGATGAAGGGTCCGCCTAGCCTTTAAAGGATTGTACACATCATAGAATCAGTGGTGGATTTAGGGGAGGGGTTCAGGGGGGTGTGCACCCCCCCCCAAGGCTCTCGTCAACAGGGGTGCATGGGGGTGCAAAAATGACATTTATCCTAAATCTAACCAACTTATGTTAAGGAATTCAGTTGAGTATCACTAGTTGACAATAGCGGAATAGCCAATATTAAATATTCTGAATTTTTAAATGTTTTGACAATCTAAAAATTTTCCAGAATGTTTTCTCAGAATGCTTGAAATGCCATTCCAGAGACCCAAATTTTAAAATTTTTCCGGGGGAGTATGCCCCCGGACCCCCATAGCAATCTTGCGCCTTTGGCACTCATTTCGCAATTGGTTAGCACCCCCCCAAAAAAAAAACTTTGCTGGATCCACCACTGCATAGAATACTGCATAATGCTAACTCTACACATACCAATCTTGTGCTTAGTTGCCCTTGATCCAAGTGGATTGCACACTTCAAATTCATCAAAATAAATAATTAACTGTAAGGCATAGGGGTCTTGTGAGAAAAGTGGATGTTCTTTAAAGCCATCTGAATCACAGTAATCACGCATGAGACCATCATTACTAGTATGTGGATTGTCAATCTACAAAAACATATTAAACAAACCAGTAATCAAGGCTTGAGAAAACATCTTGATGCAATTTTATGGTGTCCCAACAAATAATAATGTAATTTGACACTATCACGTTTGGAGACAAAAATTCAAATTATTTTAAAGGATTTATCTAAATTGAAGATTTAGTGCAAATTTGGCCGATTTTTATTATATGAGCCATTGATTGTTGTAACTCCTTTTGCACAAATCGAGAAAAACTTGAAAAAGTTTGTGAATTAACTTTTTCAAGTTTCATGCCCGCCGACTAAATCACATCGCACAGCAAGTGACACTGTGCCTTTAATGTATGCAAACATAATGGTCATGTGAAATGGATGTATTCACTAAGAGCAGTTTTTATGTGTAGTTGTCACAGTACAAACATCAATGCCTGCTACTCCATAGCCTTAGGGCATAGTCATAACATCAGATCACTGAGATACGAAAAACCAGTTTCATATTATTCTGACACTGCAATCGAGCAACTAAAAATTTGTTGGCTCGAGCGGGATTTGAACAAACGATACACTACAGTAATTGCATGTAAAGTAGTGCTTATATCAAGTACCAATCAAGTTGCATGATACTTCTTTTCAAACACACCTGTTCCAAGATGGCATCATCATTTAACAACTGTTGTAGACTCTCTAAAACTGGAATGTAGTATGCATCATCAGTTTTCTGGATATATTTTAACTTGTTCCCTCTTCGCACTTTAGTGTGGTAATGTCCAAGTACAATTCTTCTTGGCTCCTAAAAAGTTTAATAATATACATTTGTGTATAATAGTATAAATGTTGTAATTTTGTATTCATGCTGGTATTGCTTGGCGCTGGTGGACGGTTAATAAAGGCAGAAATGTCTTGTTTGTTCATAGCTGGATTCGTTGGTAATGTTACCTCTAATGCACATGTCATCGGCCATCCCTGGAGGGGGCCCCCAGGATATAAAAATTGTAAATGTGGGGACTTTGCAGGGGGATTAATTCTAAAATAACTCCCTGACCCTGGGAGATATCAAAACTTTCACAGAGAACATGCGCAAGCCCTTGGTCAGGGAAAATACCCGGGGAATTTCCAAGTTGGGAATTCTGAATGTGCTCATTCGTTGTGTTACTGCGTAATTGCTATTATAATGATTTGCTTTGCCTTGTTGTAGGAGACTGTTTCTCAAGTTTCACTTAACTTTTTTATATCAAGACTGTGCAACAATTAAACAGTATTTTGTTCATTGTTTCAAACTTGATGTTTATTGGATGAAAGTTAATATTTAATACTAGGGGCATATACTTCATTGTTTCTAAGGTGAAACTTCATCTACCAATGAGATTATGAGAATGCAAGGTTGTTTACGTTGCACTGCAAAATGAATTCGCAATGTTTTTCCCCAGTTCAAATTATTCCAGGGAAACATTCTGAATTTTCATTTTACAGTTCAATGTAATTAACAACCTTGCATATAGTAAGCTGATTTAATTGTAGAATATCACTGCAGGGGGTGGCCACACATGCATATATAACCTCAAAATTTGATGAATCACTTGTACTTACTACAAGACTCAGATTGTCCTTATAGTACTGGTGCTGCTGATTTTCGTTAGCCAAGCCAGAAAATGGATTCATAGTGATAGTATCCTCGTGGAAAAGTTCTGCAATACCAGGAACTGCATTAAAATCAATTCCAGCTGTGTCAAGCTTGGCAGTAAGCCTCGACTTCAATACTTCCATATTTGTTCTCACTATGTCAGTGGTATTTTCCACAATATAATTAATAACTGTCTGGGGTACTCTATCTCTGTCTTTCAACTTCAACAGATAAAGGGCTGCAGCTCTTTGCAGTTCTTCAGACGTCTTTTGCAAATCAAATTGTTGCGAGTCGTGGTCTAACTCTTCACTTGCACAACTATCACTGTCGGTTTCACCCGAATTACCGTCTACATTTTCCACAATCCTACAGTCTGTCTGAGATTCCGCCAACAAGACGTCAGCATGCTTTCGAGTGATGTGATTTCTGAAAGATACACAATTTGTATAGGTCCTAGGACAGCCATTAATTCCACAAAGAACAAGGAAATTGGGTTCACATGAATGACATCTGCCCACATGGCTCAGTAGCTGAGACAATTTCAATGACACAAAATTAATACAAATATTGCAACGATACATCATTGTTTGTTGAACTTGCCGCGTTGAGAAGTACAGAGGTAGTGAAGAGTCAGTGTCAAATTCATTGGAATTTGTATGTTCAATTGTTCATGGCTTCTTGAAGTATGTATAAATAAAGTTTTGGATTTTCGCTACTCTGTAGCTTCCACTAATTTATTTATAAATTCCTTACTTCTCCTTATACTTTTCCTTCACAAAAGGCAGCACACATCAAACCAGTGAGTTTTATTGATTCAACCCTTTTGCAGCCTTATAAAGCCTTGCATTTTTGTTTAGATGTTTACAATGCTTTCTTAGATTTCCTTGCATTGTTTTTGTTCGTAAAAACTAGTTCCATTTCCAAATTTTCCTTAAAATTCCCACATCAATTTACATTGCTTCCTTTTATACCAAATTTGGCAAGGCTTACCAAATATGTCGCACACGTGATCTTAGACAGACTTCGTTTTCGCGCCGGACTTTCTTTTCCCAGCGCCGTCGCCGCCGTCACAGAGTTTTTTTTTCACAGGCACAGAGTTTTTTCACATTTTTGGCTCTTTATCACTTACTACAAACTCACGTCCAAAGAAAAAGTTTGCGAACAGGTTAGTGAACTCAAACGATTGGTGTTTTTATTTTTATATTGCTTTGGTTTTCGCCATGCAAACATACAAAGAACTTAAAATATGGTTAGCAGGAAAAACTGAAAAACAAGACAAGACTCAATCAACTTGTGCATGTATGAATCAACTGATACTCAACTGATTTTCTCTCCATTGAGATACGTTTACTAGTGAAATGATTTTGGCTTTGACTTCAAGATAAGGTTGGATAAAATCGATTGGCAATTTTTTTTTCGGAAGACGAGCTCTTGCCATCTTAACTGAAGACTTTATACGACAAATGACATACAAATTATTCATGCATCTGCAGCTGTATTATAGTTTTTCGGCCTGTACCTCGTAGTCGTACGTTAACGTATTATGTCACATTATAGATTTAAAGATGAATGTCGATTTCAAACATGCTCTGCTAAACTCCGGAGTTAGAGAAAATGTTGTTCAGACGCTTGAACAAGACCAGGTTAGTTTGCCGCCAAACTTTATAAATTTATAATTTCGATTTTTTGTGTAAAAAGATAGTCGGGCATTTAGTGTTTATCAGGAAAGAATTCGGCAGTTTCTGATTACCAGGGTGCACGATAGTGTTTTTTATAATAATTGCTGGTGTTTTTTTCCCAGTTTTTCTTATAAACTTATTTCACATAGCAGGAGGCCTATGGTTTCATCAGTAAATTTCGGGCACAGAACCGGCAGTCTGACGCAGTCACAGAGGAGACCACTGAGCTATACTATATTACTGGAGGGAATGCTCGGGGAAAAAGTGAAGCCATGCATCTCCATTTAAAACAGCAGCTGTCATGGAGATGGCGTCAAACGGCTAAAAATCCGCCATGTTTAAGTGTTTTGGCTTCGCTTGCTTGACAGGCGGAACAGATAGGAGATATTTTATAGCTCAGTGGAGGAACAATAGAGAACCCCAGATCGAGATACTCCAGATACATGTAGTTCATTATCAACTTCAACTCAAGCAGCAGAAACTGATGTCGATTCAGATTCACCTATTTTGACTCCAAAACGAGCTTTTTCATCTTGTTCTCCTCCTAAATCACTTGAACCCTAACAAAAAAAGTCTATAGGCCTGGCCTATAGGCCAACCTATAGGTTTTTATAGGCAATTGGAACATTTTTTATAGGTGAGCTATAGGGATGCCTATAAGACTATAGAGCTCTATAGGTGCCTAAAGGCTTCTATAGGGAATTGGAACAATTCCTATAGGAACCTATAGGCCACCTATACACTTTTTTCGTGCCCTGCAATAATATTTCCTGCTGGCTAAAGGATTTCAAGCTTCCATCTGCTGTGAGTATATTTTGTGTATATTATTTGTATTGTGCATATATATATATATATGTTGTATACATGTGTCTATACTTAAATATATGTCATGGCCAGGCGTAGGTAGCGGATATTATTAATACGATAAAAGTTCCACTCACTGCCTAAACGATACAATAGATTTCGACAATTCAAGCAAATTGGCCCATCGTCAGGATGAAGACAGGTTTATTCCTATCTTTTTGTATTATGTTGTTTGTTTGCCCCATACATGCCTTAATTCTTGCATAATCTCTATTGGGTCATTCCAGAAAACATCCATACCACCCCCACGAAGGGAATAGGAAGTTAACTCCCCTACCCCCTTCGAATGTCCTAATACATTTACTATTATCAGAAACAATTTTTTCTCCCCTCCCCCTCCGGATGGCAGAAATTTCCTCTGTGGGGGGAGTATAGATCTTTGCTGGAACGACCCATTTTTATTCCTTGTATAACCTATTTTTATCCCTTGTATATAATATATAGTGGGTCATTCCAGAGAACATCCATATATACCTCCGGCCCCCACAGAGGAAATTGGAAGTTAACCCCCCTACCCCCTTCGGACATCCTAATACACTTACTATTAACAGAAACAAATTGTTCCCCCCCCCCCAGACAGCAGCAATTTCCCCAGTGGGGGAAGTATGGATCTTTTCTGGAATGACCCAATGTGATTTGCATTTTTTTGTTTATTCCTTGTTTTGATTAAATCCATTTGATTGGTTTTTATTTTGTCATGTAATTAATATCCAGCTAATTCAATTAAGGTTTTCCTTCCAAAAACGTAAACCTTAAACTGTGAGCGTGCAAGGACGATGGGGTATTGCTAATTTAGACTCATAAACTTTGAAATTTGGCTTTGCAAGAATGCCTAAGATATATATAAGACTCACGACAGAAAACGTACTTGCTGCAAAGGCAATTCTCTGAGTTTTAACTTTTAAGGGCCTAATAAGTGAAAACCCATTATCCTTGCGCGCTCAGAGTTTAAGGTTTTCGAAGGACAACCTTAATTGAATCAGCTGTATATTCACTTGAAAAAGCATGCATGCTTTCTCCTGACCCCCTACTAATTCCCGACAAAGGGCCTTTGCTCGAAACATCGTTTCGGTAGTGAGTGGAACTTTTACTTGTGTGCCTCAAAACTGTAGTTTTTTGGCACTTAAAATTTTCAAAACGTGAAACACTATAAACTGGAATTTTTCTGAAATGTATTTGCACCTGAAGTGTCCAATTAACCCATTGAGCTGCAATGTGCCCCCTACTTATTTTTTTCTTACTTGTCTAACGCCAGACCTTTAACTTGTAATTAATGGGGATTAAGCCCTGCAGCTTAATGGGACGTTAAAAGTGATGTTCTTACGAATTCATAATATATAGTATCTTTTTACTTTGCACCTGCGGTTACTCAGGCTCTTGCAAGCAAGAAGCGGACTGGTGTTAACCGAAATGAATTTACCCGAGACATATGTTCCAGCATCAGGATATACACCATGTATCCAACTAAAGCAGAAAGGCAACATGTGGCATTTCTTGTCATAAAAAAGTATCCATTTTTGGAAGATAGTATTGGAACTGGTATTGTAAGTGCACAAATGTATTTACAGTATGCAGGCAATTGAAGTAATATTCAATATTTTTTGCTGTTTTTCAGACTGATTATTTAACTTTTTTACCATTTAGGAATATGATGTTTGTGGTGTTACTCGATCTGAGTGATATATCCACACCGGGCAGACTGAAAAATCTGCCTGGCCACTGGGAATTGAACCTACAACCTTTGGAATACTAGCCCAATGCTCTGCCAACTGAGCTACGCGGTCAGGTCGGTTTGAGTATGCGATGTTTCGGAAGAGTATGCGATGTTTCGTTTTGTTTGACACCAATGTAATAGTTATTACTATAGATTACATTGATATCAAAGGAACTACAGCAGACTCAGTGCCAAAATATCACATACTCGAACCGACCTGACCGCGTAGCTCAGTAATTGGCAGAGTATTGGGCCAGTATTTCAACGGTTATAGGTAATAGGTTTGATTTGCACTGTGGCCAGGCAGATTTTTCAGGCTGCCCAGTGTAGATCGATATACACTCAGAGTAACACCACAAACATCATACTTTCCTGAGTACACAACACCAACACAGAAAAAAAATTTAGGAATATTTTTACTGTTTTTCAGACTGACCATTATCTATTTGACATATTATAAAAAAATATTGGTATAGTGTCGGTTAATGGGTTAGTTTCATTGTAGTAATTATGATAAATTGCATTGCTATATTATTGTTGTAGAACTATTGAGTTTTATAATTAGCAATTGGATATAACTGTTAGAGACAAGGGATTGGTTTGGAAAACTAAGGCCAGGCATGCTTGACAATTGAAATTTGTATTTCCCTGTTTGGTTCTTCTTGGGGCCAGTTGTTCAAAACGTCGATAGTGTTATATATATCCACTGGATAGCAATTTTTCAACCTTCGTAAAATTGGACAAAGAACAGTGAAACTTCCATTTTGGCAATTGTAATAAATACTCCAGTCTTCAATCTATAAATATCAGTCGTGACTTGTACTGTAATGATCAGATGAAAATTTGATGAAGGTTTGAAAAATCACTATCCATTTGATAGCACAATATACCTTTCAAACAACTGGCCCCTGTACTGCAACAAAATTGTTTTTAATAGTGTGTGGTTTTACTTGCAGGGATCCTGGGAGACAGCCTTCAAACACAGGTTTAAGAATATTAGAAAAAAAGGGAGAAGTTTGACTCTTCCATCTCTGGATGCCAATGAAAGTAGGAAAATCGACAGTCAACAGACCAAAAAAAGGAAAGTAGAGGAATGCATCACAATGCCTGAAGGAGAAACAGAAGAGACATGTGAAGAACATATAGAAGTTCTTAAAAAAGAAATGGCTCGCAAAACCAATAGGAATATGGCAGTGGTTAAAGAGTTGATGGCAATAACATTTGCATACAGGCGGACCGCATTTTTGAAAGGGACAATGTCTGTTGGCGAATGTTTGGAAAGCTACCCAGCATTGAAGCTACCATCTACAGTAAGTTGTTCAAGTTTAAAATTCTACAAAATTGGCACAAAGTTATTTTATGACACATATTTAACTCTAACTTATACTCAGGGATGCCAGAACAGGAGGGGCCAGCTGCCCCCCTTGCCTTTTGATTGGGGGGTGGGGCAGGGGTGCCCTTTCAATATTGGGGAGATATTTTCTTTGTGAAGCCTTATTATTGTCAGCGGGTTTTTTCCAGGATTTTCTCTTGGGTCCGTTTTTGCAGAGAGGATTGAGTTTAGCTGACCAGCTGGGGGTGTGGTGCAGCTGCGGGAGGCTGACACGTGTACCCAATAAGTGTAGTTGAGACGCAATAAAGTAGACATTATAAACTGGTTAAAGATGGCGAATGCATTGTTTTTTCTTATGTTGTAAATTGAATTCCAGCCATTTTTGCTTGATTGTCAGGTTTCCAACTGAAAACTAATTTCCACACGTCACAAATTTAACTCAAACAACTTCATTTTTACTGCACTGAATCTTTTGGTGAGTTCAGATTGAGTTTCAAAACTCAATTCAAGATTGAGTTTTTGGGGCCATTTTACGGTCCTAAAAAATCCCTGAAAAAAACCCTGGATTGTCCGACTGTGGGCTTAACTTCTTAGGTGTCTTTAGCTTCCATAGCCCGCGTACAGGCCCAAGGGAACTGATAGTGGGCCTGCAAGCAAGGCCCGGTATTTTGTAAAACGCCCCTTTTCATAACACGCCCCATTCGCGCGTCAATTGTCAAAAAATAACCAATGACAGCACCCAAGTATTAACAAACAAACTCGCATTAAAATGTTGCGCGGTTTTCTCTGCTTATTCAGAACATAAACAATGTGTAAATGGCTGTGTTTTAACTCCAAAAAAGCAAGCAACGCAGTCCGTAATTGCCAAATTTGCAAGTGCTCATTTTCAACTAAAATTGAAACCGGCAAATTAGGACAAATTTCAACAGAAAACCAGTCTCAAACTTCAAATTGTGAGGGAAGTCGTGCGACCACATTGGTATTTATAAGGTGTACTTCGCTGTCGCCATTGTTATAAATAAATTGTCTCACTTATCAGATCGTGTGTGCAATTCTTGTTGGCGGCGGAAAGAACGAAATTTATTTTAGTTATTTCATTTGGTATAAAAGAACTCTACAAAAGAAGAGAGCGTTCAGAGTCCAGATCGTTTTGTTTCAAACGGCAATTACCGTATTCTGTTTCGGTCTCTCAGCGAAGCCTTGCACTATCAGTTCCCTTGGGCCTGCACGCGGGCTATAGCTTCCATTGCCAACAAATCAATTACCTTAAATTAAGCAATGCATGGCTTAGAAATTTGGTACAATTATATTTGTCTGGAATTTTAAAATGGTGAGATTTAATATTTCTTTTCAAACATTGACTTTATGCGAGAACAAAAACTGCATGCATGTCGTTCTGTCAGATTTTCAATGCTAAGCCATCAATAAAGATAATTAGTGCTGTGAATGTGCCCTTCGCCAAGAATTCACCCGGCACCCTTGCCTTAATTTCTATCATTCTGGAGTCCTTGCTTATTCTAAGTTCTGTATTTCCTAGTCGCCTTGGCTTAATTATAGCCAGATGATTTTAACAAATATCTATTTCAGCTAATGCTGTGAGCAGCAATTAGAAGATATGTCTGAATGTATCATACAGTGTGCATTATTAAGCAACATCTAGCTTATTGCTTATGTTTTTTCAACTAAGGTGAAAGAAGAATTTGGTCGCATAATGGGAAAGCCAAACCCAGTAAAGTGTATGGCCAATACATTTAAAGAGGTGTGGGTGCAGAAAATTCTTAAGTATGGTTTGACGCAAACAGTGGGGAATTCAATAATAGCCTCAATTGACGAGGCCTGTCAAGATAATCCAAACAAGAAAAGTGGTAATATATGATATATGATATCAATTTGTAGCTTTTACGTCTGCATTATGTTAATCCTTCATTGAGCCCTTTGCAGTATGTGACCCATTGCTGCAGTATGACCCATTGCCAGTAAGTAAGTAAGTAACTCTAGCTACATGTGCCCCCCTCCATTTTCAAGCTTATCAAATAGAAAAACTGCTGATTTGCCACTGGCAGAAGATGCAGGATGATAGAATGGAAACATAATTGAATATTCTTATTTTCCTTTTTAAAGCTATTGAAGAAGCAGCTGCAGCATATCTTCTGCCAAGTTTACTAAAAGAAAAACGTGGAACTGCAGAAAATTTTATTAAAATATGCACGGTATGTTAAAATTTCTGTACTTTGAAAGTTTACAAGATTTTTTATATCATTTTTAGTGTTAAAAACTTTATTTTGCAACGTTTCGATGCTAAATCATGCACCATTTTCAAGCATAACGAATTTACATAATTGCATTCCATTAATTAAACGAGTTAACATAATTATGTAAACTCATTATGCTTGAAAATTGCCATGATTTAGCATCGAAACGTTGCAAAATAAAGTTTTTATTGCTTGTTTTTGTCTCAAAATTTATTACAGTAGTAATGCAGTATTGGATATAACCCAATATACAAAATTAATTAATGTTTTTTTCTTCTGTATATATAGGATGATGAGTCAATTGGCAAAGCTATTGAGGAAACGAAAACTCCTCGAATTGTTGGCTCTGGAGAATTTTGGTGCCTAGAACCCCTCTACATTGCTGCAGAAGGTGTTGTAATAATTAGTTTAGGAGGAAGCAGCTCACTTGCAAATGCTTCGAGTCTGCTGGTGGCTTCCTATTATGTTTTCAACATAAAGTACCCATTGAAATGTACCAACGTCTACATCTTCTGTGAGGCAACACTACTTGGCAATGAGCAGGAGGCCAAAAAGAGAGTAACAGTAAATAAATTTATGTCCGCACTTGCATGAAAGACTTTATAGTTATGTTCAGACATTTAATTCAAAGAGAGTAACAGTAAATAAATCTATTTCAATCCGCACTTGGATAAAAAAATTATAGTTGTGTTCAGAAGTTACAGTATATTCAAAGAAAGTAACAGTAAAAAAATTATTTCTGCACTTGGATAAAAACTTATGGTTGTGTTCAGACGTTATATTAATTCATGTTCAGATACATAGATTTAGTTATTTTTGTCATGAAATTACATTAACCATGCTTTATACTTCAAGGTGTCTTTCATTATTCTATGTATATGATGCTTATATGCATGTAGTCCATGTGCTGATGCACATAATTGTATATAGACTCGAATTTACTCTATAGCCATATTATTTAGTTCAGACCATGTTAACTCCAAAATAGAGCATAAAATGGCTCTACAAGAATGTTTACTATAACTCCTCCCCCATACTTGTTTGAACTCCCAATTTGGAGTTAAATATGGGAGTTAAAATGACCCTGAAATTGGGTATTATTCTCAACCTAACTTTCTAACTACTTTTCTGGAGTAATAATAACTCCATTTACAAGAATATCATAACCTCCATATTGGAGTTATTTATCTCCAATAATGGAGTTATTTAACTCCAAAATTGTGGCTGTTCTAACTCCACTATTGTGGTTATTTTAACTCCGCTTAAAGTTATTCTAACTCTACAGATGAAGTTCTTTTAACTCCACAATTGAAGTTATTCTAACTCCACAATGAGAGTTAAATATGGGGGTTAAAATGACCCCCCAAAATGGTGTTATTCTGAACCTAAGATTTTAACTCCAACTTTGGAGTCGTAATAACTCCTTGAAATTAACAGTGTAGATAGATATATAT